TTCTTTTCGCAAGCTCATCACGAAAGGTGCGACCCAAAAAAGGCGACTCAGTTGTGATTCTGGTTCTGCCGTGAATTAGAACCGGTATTGGACTGATTTGGGTTGGAACCCTGGTTCTTCTATGCGACTGGAGAACCTGATCTCATAATCGTTTTGTATTTATTTGTTTTTGTCCACGTCAGAAACTTAATGCGAAAGTATCAAAGCGAGACCCGGGTTAGTTTTATGTGTCTAGTTCTGTTCAGATAAATCGTATTTAGTGGTGCTTGCCACTTTAAACAACAGCGTACAAATTCTTTAGGCCTAATACAGAATCAATTAATTTGTGTACATATTAGATAGTTCACTAAAATTTCTCAAAAACCCAACTGTGTACATATAATATATGTATATTTAACTGTTACATTTTCACGTTAACTTATGTTTGTTTAGGGAACGCCTCCCTGCTTACTAGTTTTCAAGCCTGCAGAAAGTCTCCTTAGGGACGTGCAATTTCGTTTGGACTTCATAGTGTTGGAGAATCCATTTATAGATTTTATTTCATGTTGGTTCTTTTATTATTATTTTCCTTGCAGTATTTGGACATGGCCTCTAAAAATCCCGTTGTAGTATTTAGTACATTCTCTCTAAGCGCCATCCCAAGAGGAGGCTAATCGAGTCATTACCGAAGCGCAAAGCGCGATATTTTGGTAGCGTTCAGCGAGCAATATACCCTGCAAGGAGTTATATTTGTAGTCAAGACGTGATAATGTGATATTAATAGATTGCTCTTAGGCCGTGTCCAATCAGTATTGCAGGAAGGTTTCACCTTCTGTATCTCTCTCAACCGGCAAGTAGTCAAAACATTCTTTCAGTTGCCATGTCATTTAGCGAATGTTTTGTACTTTATTTATTGTCTATTTAAGACCAAACATAGTTTAATGTTTTGTAATTGTGTAATGTTGAGCGTTATAATTTAATTACACAATTGAAACGAACACATTTGGTTTTACTATATCTATCCCTTTCACCTTCTTTTATGACATTCTCAGTAATTGTATCCGTATATCATGTAATTAATCTATATGGCATTCAATGCCTTCACTTGATGTTTTTGATGCACGATTTATGTAAAACCATATGCGGTCTTTTAAGGGCATAATTAAATTATGTTTCAACCTTACTATGTATCAGTCAAAGCGGTGGCTTGAATTGGTGGTGTCGCTGACAAGAGCAGTAAGAAAAGAAATGTAATCTCGGCAAAATACTTGCAAAACAACCGGTAGATTTTCTTACTGTGAAAAACATAAAAGAGAGCATCTTTTCAGCCACCACCAAAACAACCCGACTCTGCTCAAAATTTTGTAGAGATTCTTACTAGACTCTAGATAGGAAAGATCATGTGTGAGGCTGTTAAATATAGTGAATGTGATATTTCTGAGAATAAAGACAAATGAAACTGTTTCTTTCTTTTTGTATTCCTGTTGCTATAATATGTACCATAGGAAACCTTTAGTAGTTTAAAAAACTATACTGAAATCTCATACACATACGAAAACGTTTAATTGGTAGTCTATTTATTTGTACTATGCTATCTGTTTTTATTCTTCCCTGTTTCTATCATTGTCTTGTTGTAAAAGTTGATGTTCTAAAATAATATATGGCTGTAAACTGTGAAAAGTCTGTAACTATACTAATAAATTAAAACGAACCTTAAAAATATCTGAAACACGCGCCTCTGTAATTTCATTTTTCCTCTTCCCGGAGTCGTCAAAACCATTAGCCGCACATCCTAGCTCATCACGCCAAAATACCACGCTCTCGTGGCCGTGTCGGTCACCTGATTGGAACAATCACAGCTGCAACTAGGCTACAGCAGGCCGCGCTAGCTGCGCCAGGCCACGTCGCTTGGGGCCCCGCTTTACATAAACGCCCCCGTGCCGCCGCCATATTCAGACCTGGCGCTTTGGCGTGGTCAGCGAGCCGAGCCAAGACGGGGGAAAATATATAATTGCAAAAGCGGCGGCGGCAGAGCGGGAGAGGAAGACGGGGGCTCCTTTCGAATAACTAAACAAGTCCCTCTCAAAACAAGAAAGACACACTCGTGCTGATTTGCTTCCGGAGAGGGTCGCTAAATTATTATTGCTGTAACCCGGGGTGCCTCATGCGGCTGTGGTTTACTGCCACCGCTTTCTAGAACACGTCCGCCGCGCTCGCCCCACCCCGCCCCGCCCTACCTCGCCACTTTGGTCCACTTGGAGCCGCGCGTACCGGGGCCCACCCATCCCATTTTCGGAGAAGCCGCTTTCAGAGATCGACCAAAGGGGCTTTCGACATGCAAAAACAAATTCTAGCAGGGTAAAAAGTGGGGAGGGGGCAAAAGAAATAAACTGGAACAGTTTTCAACCGAAAAGTTCCTAACAGTGCACCGCTCGGCAAGAACTGATAAATTTATGAGTGTGTTTATAATGTGATAGGTGCACATTGAAAAAAAGAGTGTCGATGATCGGGAGAGAGGTGAGTCGGAGGCGACCGGAGACCGGCAAGAGAGGAGGGGGTGTGGAGGGAGCGGGGAGGGGAGGGAAGCGGTAATGAGTAATGAATAGGGAGGGAGGGTTGAATGTATTACCACGTGACCTACATACAGACGGCGCAACACAAATATTAACGGAGTCAGGTACCGAGCCCGGGACTTCAGTGTGCCATGGCAGAGGGGTTTCAGCAAACTCCGAACTTGGTCGCCCTCCCCGTCCTTCTTGGAATGCCCCCTTTCCGCGCCCTCAAACACCTCAAACAAACTGCTCCCTACCGCAGCCCGGGTGGTTTTCAAGCATATTCAAGCGCAATTGTGTACTGCGTACAAATACAATCAGAGACTGTACCAACAGAAGAAGGTACGACGTTTTCTCGGCGTTTTGTGGAAGATTAAATGTTCGGGGTACGTACCAGAGGTTTACACCGAGGGGTTACACTACGTGAAAAATTGTCCTCAACTGTAAACAGCTGATTTAGCCTTTTCCCCCCATAAAGCCTATCCCTCTTAGTATGCATCGAAAACAGTTTAGGACGCGGAGCTAAAAACAATCAGTGCGGCGGGCGCAGCGCTCAGGTGCGACAAGCGCCCCCTCCCCCCAACTTTGATCACCCTCCTCTCCTCACCGACGCCACTTAAAACGTTTACTTAAAACGTTGCCCGCGTTAATAAGTTGCAGTGAGAAGCCAAACGCGCGCTGCTGGTGGAATAATTACAGAGCCTCATAACAAGGTGGATTTTTGAGCGTATTGGTTGCCGCGGGGCTTCCGGTGGTGCTGCCTCATCAACCCGTCCCGCCGGACCACAATCAAATAAGTAGCAGGTGGATTCTTTTCATCTTCTCGTTATTTTCCACCTTATTTCGCTTTATACGACAATTATCAGATGGGGTTCGAAATTCTTACAAAATCACACTCTACTTTTCCCGTCCCGGCGCGCCGTTGCTGTCGCCCCGGGCGCGGCGCGGTGGCTAGGGGTGGCCGGGCGCCGCCTCCCTGCGACTAATTTGTGAAGACACCTCGATACTGGGTGATGGATGGGATCAGCAAGTGTCAGGCCTTCAGTCTGTCGGAACGGTTTGCCACCGTTAACCCCCCCCCCC